AAWAAAAAAAMCCTCACATTCTCTTAATAAAAAATTGCAAAACTCAATTTGAAAGGAAGAAGGCCCTTCTCAGCTTGGATAACTAGTAAAAGCATTGGACAACCAAAATAAAAGACCAATCATCAAGATACTACTGATGGGAGCCATGCTGGTAGACACTGATTTGATTGAAGTATGTCGCAAGTTTACAACAAAAATCAGAAGAGCCACAAACAAATTTCCTTCTCACTCATGTGAGGGCTTAATAGCTTAAAATCATTGTTTTAAGGCATGAGTAACAGTGTCTATTTTAAAGGGAGTTCTATTTACAGAAAAAAATCAGTAATTTCAGTGCACTGAGGGCAGTGAGTCTGCAAATGTGAAGATGAGCTCTTTCCTTCTGTCAYGTCACATCATAAATAACTGGGTCTGCTGGTGAAGAAAGACTGCCCAGAATGCTTGGAAACGATCTGTTTTCCTCAGGGAACMACCTACTATTTCCAGCACTGAAAATGCAATGGACAGTGTCTGACAAAGCAGTTTCACAGCATCAGCTCCCCCCAGGCTTCAGCGGATCCTCAGGCACATCAGGGATTCTCTGCAAAGGGAGCTTTGCCATGTGCTCCTGAGCTCCCAGCAAGGGAGCATCTGATGGAAATGTCCAGGAGCTGTCACAGAGCACTGCCCTGCTCCATCCCTGGGGAAGGAAAAGCCTTTCCCTGAGCGTGTCTGAACACCTGTGGAAATGCTGCTCCAAGAATGTGAGGGGTGGGAGATGTGGGGCCGCACACAGCGCCCGCAGCCATCGTGCAGCAGGAAGCCAGGTGCAGCTCCAGCCTGCGGTGACACAGTGGTGTCCCTGCCAAAATGCTGCCTGCAAATGAACCCTGGGGATGGGGATCAGAGCWGGGAGAGCTGCTGAGAACGAGCTCTCCTTTGAGTTCATTATGGCAATGTCTATTTTTATGGCCGATTTCCACCGTGCTTTGGCACCTCTCCTGTGGCTGGGACCTGCAAACCCCACACAGGGATTCCCACTGAGCTTCCTGGTGTTCCTACCTCCTCCACACTGCACACTGCATCCTTCCCATCCGCTGTGTGTCCAGATGTACAAGGAATCCTGTTGCTTTTCTGGCTCGCTTCTGTTTTCAGCAGTATAGTTTACAGGGATGGTGTATTCATAATGAATTCCATAATTCTGGTCATGGAATAACAGCACCTGGTTCGGCAGGAAAAGAGAGGCTGTTGCAACACACTGTGCTGGGAGAGCCAACAGGCTGTGGAGATAGCATTGCTGGAAGTGCTGGGACAAAATTCCTAAAATATAAACACCTCATGAAAGGCAAACAAATGTTTAGAAAACTTAAAATTGCAATGGTACTAATAAAATAGGGCAATTGCAGGAGCAAGAAGTGCACGAACTGCTTATGGTTGGGGAATATTTAAAGCAGTCACAGGGATGTCTAAACCTGGGATTCAGGGCATAACTTTCAGCCTCAAAACGGATCAGCAGTACAGTGGCTATCCAAAGAGAAAGACAATAGAAAGCATTAAATCAGCACTTTTCATATAACAACCTTTTCAAAGATCATCTAGAGTTAACCATCTGAAAGAACAAGGTGATGCTTCTCAGAGCAAAAACAACTAATGCAAAAGAAGTCCCATGTCTCCTGGTAAAAGTGGCACTGTAGGTAAACTCAACTATTCCTGCTGCCAAGCTGTAGCAACAGGGTTTTAATGTCTCAGAAAACTGGGGATGACAAGTAAGAGCCATATCATAYAGCTGCTGGCAACATATATTTTCATCCCTGCACATTGCTAGAGGAAAGTGAAACCTGTTCCCAACTGCAGTCTATTTCCTATGGAATCATTTGTGATGTTGCCAGTGTTATTAGTCCAAAATTCCCTTTTAACAAAGGAATAGAGAAAAATGTTTATGTTTTCACCATAGGCAGATGAGAGTATTGGTCCTGTTTTGATTTACACGTTGGACTTCATTTGGCTCTCACTTTCCCTGGCTTGAGTCAGAATTGATTGGAAGATAACTCACAAAGTACAGGGCCCATGGAATCTGAGTTACCACACTATTTAACAAATGCCACAGAAATACTAATGTAATCTTTATGCCGTGGCTTTAAACTTACTTGTATGTATTATCCCATAATCTGAGCAGCATTAGACAGGTGAATTSTGCTGGCTTTTGTCACCTACTGAAATAGGAGCAATGCCTTATCAAATAAGGTATTTTAAGCAGGGCTCTCATAAGTGGAGCAAGCAGCTGCCCATTTGAAAAAAGACAAATTTACAAATGCTGTATTCTCCCAGCAGTAATTGTTTCCCCTTCAGATTTGCAYAAATCATTCCTGCTTAACCAATAATCTCACTAAAGCTGTCAGGAGCTCATTTAACCAAACAATTGCCGTGAAAGAAAGGGTCTTGGCAGACTTTGCCTTGAGTTCTGGGGGACTCCTCAAACTCAGCACCCTTGAGCTGCTCTGCACAGGGCAGAACCCTGGGCAGAAAAGCCTCTTGCAGAGGATGTGGGGAATAAAGAAATGATTTTTCTTCAGCTACAGAGGGAGCCTCAATACCAGGACTGAATACCAAGGTTGAAACCAGGCAGCCATCATTATAATTTCAAAGATTAATGTTGTTTTTTTTWAAACACAATTCAAATACCAGGCAGTCAGAAACAGAGAGCTTGAGCCTGCTCTGGCTTTCTTGAAGTGCAGGAGATAGGAACTCCTGTTCTACAGAAGTGATCAGCCAGCCTTGTCTAGAGCCCCTTTCTGCTCTGGGAGTGTTTGTGTCCTCTGTTGCAAGAGGAGGACTAGCACAGGCCTAGTTACACAAACAYCAGTTTCTCCAAGAAATACACACACAGCAATGCACTTGGAGAAATGCCTCAAGTATTAAAAACCAGCTCCTAAAAAGAAATGCTTATTATCTCAATATGGGTGCGAGACTAGTGAATCTAAAGGCCCATATGAAACCAATTTCATGCAATTTCGTAGCCATATATAATTGGGGGGTGTGTGTATGTGTGTATAATTGGTTTCAAATGCAGGTCACAATGGATTGACTGAAGCTTCTGGCTCTTTGTCAGTCCAGTGTATTCCACCACTGTTTGAACAACAGTTTTCTATTTAGAGGGAACTGGTAACCATCCTGCCTTTCTTGCATTGAAAGAATGAAACCCACCACCCTGTATCAAGGAAAAGATTTGTATCTGATTCGARGCAAAGACTTCGTGTGTGCTTTGTTTACCACTGGCAGTGGTTTAAAGCCACATGCTTTTTAATGGTCTGGAAATTTTTACGTTCCTCATTTTTAATCATTTCTGTGAGGGAAGGTGGAGAAGGAACATTTCCTCTGCTTATGTCTGCTGAAAGGGCCTGTCTGTATCTGGACAGGGCACTCGTGAAGAAGCTCACAAGCAGTGGTTTCCTATTTTAGCTACTTACTCCTTAACAAAGGGGAAATGAGAATTTCCTTAAAACCAGATCTCTGCTGAYGCTGAGGCTCACAAAATACTGATACCAGATATTACTGCAGTGGACCTCAACAAAGTAATGTCCAAGAGCTGCCAAAGGAACCCTGCACAGCATCTTCCCAATGGTTCGGTTCCTGTGCATTCCTGTTTCTCACATGAGGTTAGAAAGACCTTGGCAGAACAGGATACTTTGTCAGAGTCCTCGTTTCAGGAGGGAGGGGTTGTGTTAAGGCCAAAGTCAAGCAGGAAGACAGGAAGGTGCTCCAACCCTGTGCCTCTGACTATTCTGGCTGTAACCCCTTGGAATCCAGCTTTACACTGTTCTCTGAGCCTGTAAATTCACTCACCTGCCTGAGAAAGCAAAGACAAACCCCCTCATGCTCCTGTGCAGCAGATTTTGACACCAAGAAAGTACTGACAAAGTGGATTATTACTGTCAGCTTTTTGTGAGTGTGAAAAGTTCAGGCATCTTTGGAGCTTTTCAAACTGGGTCAGGAAATGTTGCACAATGAACACAGCAAGCCAAAAAAATCAGGTGAGAGAAGGGAGACAATGCGGATTTTTAGCAGTGCTYACAGATAGCCTTCAGAGAACAAAARTGGCAAAAAGTCACAAGGAAAAGAAACAACACACAGAAAACTGGAATTGGATAAAAAACTTACAGGAAACAATGAATAYGTTAAAATACTTTCTACACAAACCYTGCTGTAGAACCTGTAAAGCTTTCTGCAGACTTTCAACTAGGAACATAGGAGACAGGAATCATTACAGCTGTCTTATAGATACAAATGCYRAGGTTACACCAGCATTAAGGGACTGGTCCATGGGTCACCCCATCACCCACTGGTGACAGCTCTGGGACYACAATCCTGCTGCTCTCACCCCTGCAGACTTCTCATCATGCTCAGCCACAAGGCTGTTCATAAARTAACAGGCTGGGTTAACAGAAAGACTATGCTGAACACTAGGAAAAAATGTCAAAAAACACCTTAAATTACATACAATTGAAAAAAACAATGCAGAGAAAATAAAGAACATTTCTGTGTGTAATTAAGTCACTGCTTAGATTCAAATTCACATATATCATCTGTGCATGCCAGATCTGCACCTCTTCTGTTAGAGAACAGAGCACTTAAACATAGAATACATTTTGGCATAAGATGAGAAGATATTTCAGCAAATGTGCTTTTATGTGTGTGATCAGGTACRTCCAAGAAATAAGAAAGGTCCTTGGGAACCTACACCCTCTACAATGGACCTGTCACATTGTCTGTGATTCATTACAGGGGTATCCTGTAATAGATATGAGTTGACTGGGACATGGCCTGTTCTCCAAGAAYAGAGCATCACTTTTTGAGTGGGGAGCTGGGCTTCTCCAGCCTCTGCAATGCTGTAAAAGAACACTGTGGTGAGGAAGCAAACAATCAAAATTCAACTTTCAGCTAGGATATAAACCCTTTCTGTTGCATCACTTAAGAAACACAAACAAAGGATATCAAGTTACCATCAAGTGCAGTGGTATTTTAGTTGGTCCTTTGGCAGAGATTTTCTCCCACAGCCCCCTTCGCACGTACCGGACAGTGGTGCCTGCGATCTGRAACTCACCAGGAAGCTCAATTTTCCAGTCGCTGTTAATGGATCTCTTACTGGAATCTTTTAAAGCTGGAATGAATCAAACACCACGCAATGAAATGCAAGCAAATTTGTAATTACAATATAGACTATTGAGCCTTTGCCTCAGGCTACCTGAAGCACAAGATGCAGTAACCTTGTAATGGTTAAAATTTAAAAGAGTTTAAAAGAATAAAAGAGAGAGTTTAAAAGAATAAAAAAACCCATTTCTTTAATGGGTTTTCTTTTAAACTTTAGAGAGTTTAAAAGAATAAAAAAAACCCATTTCTAGGTGGCCCGTTGCAATGTTTCTTGGATATGTTTTGTACGTCAGTTGATGAAGGTATTTCAAAGATTTATCTCTAAACCCTTCTTTCAAATGCAACAACTCTGTAATTTAGTTTCCAAGCAGATTTTTTTTTYMRKTTYCMRRWTTTTGAGATTGCATTTTCCTAAACCTTCCCCGAGAAAAAGATCAATCAAATCTGTGTTGATACATGAAGATTTGCAAATGCAAAATACAATTGATGCTGGGCTTGTGTGTGTTCCACAACTAAACACTGAACAAACTGCCATTCAGCTGTCACAGTAAAGAGAAATCAAGTTACAAAGCAGGGGCTGGTCAGTGGGTGTGAACTTGGCCACCCTCTTTTCAGAGTCCAGATGCTGGACACACGTGCATGTGCGCTGTAGGATCACATCCATCCTGTGCCTGCCTGAGTAAGGCCAACAAGGAAGGCTCTACTGCAGAAGGAAGATGAATAGTGAGTGAGATCTGTGGAGCTGTATGTCCTTTCTTCCAGTATAGTTATTGCATCAAGATCACTGCTGTCCTTCAAACACTCAAAGACAACTCCAGCCATAAGGGCATCACATTACTGTTGACTCATCAGTGCAAGCTGATTCAGGRATTGATGTGTTTTCTGTGTTAGAACGGAAGCAGATTTATCCAGATGTTGCTGAGATGCACTGAGGGAAGAGAAAATTGGCAGACCCTGTTCCAGCGGAAAGTGCCAGGCCCCTTTGTGGAGATCCATTCACCRTGATCAAATCTGCCCTGACAGCAGACAGACAGAATATCCCACGTGTTCCTGGGCTTCCTTAGTTCAAGGTTAACTGTGTCTTTTGCCTAAGCCTTTAACAAGATGTTTTTTTAACCTCTAGCATCTCATGCCTATTTTATTCTCTTCCAGTAAAGAACACATCTTTGTCTCACTTAACTGACTGTGTTGCAAGAAGTAAGAAGCTGTTTAAAGCCTTTGTAAGTCAGTAGGAAATCTCCCATTGTCATCCCCATAGATCAAGCCCCTATAGCCAGCAAGCCCTCCTGGATGTGTTAGGGTAGATGCAATTTGTGATGTCAAAGCTCTGGGGGTATCTGGAGCAAGTGGAGGTCACAATGTTCTCTGTATTTGCATGTGCCTTGTTGAGTACCTGTGCCYTGGGAATTACTGGAAAAATGTGGGATATCTGTCCTGCTACACACAACCTTCCTGACAGATCTCAGTCCCATGAGAGGCTCCACAATAAGGGTGAAGAGGGACTGCAGGTATGGTTTCCAGAGGTGGGATGTACATGGGAGAATGTTTTTTCAGAAGMAAGTTCTCTCTGGCACACAGCCCAGGGGTATGACAGTGTCCTGGCATTCACATACTGCAGCAATGTGTCTCTCCCTGCAGCCCACTTCTCTTCMTGCTTTGTTCCTCAAGCTACAAAGTACCTCCTACAAGCTCCAGACAAAATTCTGAAGCACGATTCCTTTCCTCTGCCAAGGCCTAGTGGCTTCCAGGCAGATCAAAGCAGCCTTGAGGAGCTGTGGGCACAACTAATCAAAGCTGTGGATGAGATAAAACTATCTCCAAGCAGCATGGCTGACTAGCAAAGACATCCCAGCACGTGCTCAAAACTGTCTGAGAGGCTGAGTGACTCCAGCCATGCTTTGGTTCCAGTTCACCATCAAGGGGAGATAATTTGCTGATGAAAGCCAACATTTCACCTTTGTTARCCTCTTTTCTGGGCAGGGTTTGATTTTGATTGCTGCAAGCACTTCTCCCTTAGTGACTGAGGAGATGGGAGAGTTTGGAAACGGACCTGTTCCCAAAGGTGCTCGAGGATTGCAGGAATTGCACTGGGGACTCAGCAGAGAATCTGGGCCAAAGTGTTTTCACCACTGTTTGCCTCCATTGCCCATCAGCAGAGATTGATGCTGCAGCTACAAAACCCTCCATGTCTCAGACACAGAGAACTCCAGCTTTTGTCACACACAAACATTGGCTGGCCCTGCCCAGCCCCAGAGGTGACAGAACTAAATTCAAAGTTGTACAGCAGAAGAGCAGAAGGAATAGGAGCCCCAGCAACAACCTGTAACTTCTGTTTTTCTTGTTGGCTGGAAAGCAGGAACTGACCAATCAATTTCTAAACCTGGCATCTAGTCAGATCTTTATTTCCACCTTGGGTCCCTCCAGCTTGCTTCCCAGCCTGTGGACACAAACTGCCCAGGCATTTCCTGTTCAAGGTGGTTTTTAAGAGTTACAGCCAGCCAAGGCAGCCAGCGTGGGTTGCCTGTAGGTGGAGGGAAATTCTTCAGGCACTGCTCCCAGCACATGGAATAATGATTCCAAATTATGCTGGGCTTCTTTCCAAAATGTTGTACCTGGTTCTGAGTAGAAATAGGACCTGATTGGACTCAGCTTTGTCAGTGCTATTGAAATAGAAAATCTTTCCATACTCAGACCTGGATTTAAGAATCTTATCAGAATGATTGGATTTTTTTTTTCTTGGTCATCTTTATTGTCCTACTGGAACCCTTCTGCTGCTGTTCTTCTTCTCAGCTCAGCAAGACATCGAGTATCTTTTCTTTGTGTTGAGCGTTCCTCGAAAGTGAAAACCCTGGAAAGCTGAGAGAGGTTCTCCTGGCTCCTGACCATGAACCAAAGAGCTAAAAGTACTCAAAGCTTTAAAAGAGCCAGATTTTTATCTATCTTTATTGATRCACACAGGGCCAATTCCTGCTCTCAAAAATGCACAATCCTAATCTACACCACCCAGTGGGGAACCATCTACTTTAGTCAAGGTTATGTTGTCCCAAGGCAGGGCAGCCTCTCACTCCACATAAGACTCTCAGTGCTCTCCTATCTGCCAAAGCCCAAATACCCTGTGCAAACCCCACCAAGACAAACAAAAAGGCTGGTTTCCAGAAGGCAGAACACTTGCAAAACCCAAGGAAACACTGGCTCCCATTGTTCCACCAGCCTTTGCTATGTCAAACATCTCACGTGTAGGCGGGATCCTCTGGCAGGCTGGCTACAGCATTATGGAAACAGGAGCAATGGTGATATTGCTTCCTACCAAGAAATGGCACAAATGCCAATGGTTTCAACCAAAGGGCAGCTGAATGACATCATYTGCCCTCCTTTTTCCCCCTGAATCTGGAATGAAAGAGAACAAAATCATCTTTCCTGGTGATATTGCCAACTTTGGCAGCATGTCAAGACAGAAAACCCATGGCACTAGACCTGAAATCTTGACACAACCACTAAGGAAATGCTTTCAGCAGCATCCTGTATTCCAGGGCTGGATATTAATGTCATCTTTGGATGGAGATGGAGAATTTTAAGCAAAAGACCTGGAAATCAGAAACCAAGCTCTGACTTTGCTCTGACTCCCTGCATAGCCATGAGMAAGTTGTGACAACTCAGTTTCCCCTGCCACAAAACAGACTGTGATGAGCTTTGTGATCCTCTCAGGGTTTTTTTCACCTCTGAAAGCAAATCCATGGGCATGCAGCTCTGACTGTGCCACGGACCCTTCAATGTGCTGGTGTTTTCTAGACCTTGGACAATTTTCCTTGAACCCCCCCACTCTGCCACAGGCTTCCTGTGTGAACTCAGGGCCATGGGGCATCACCATTTCTGTGRCCTGGACTCCCTAGAAGTAGATGGGATGTAAAGCCCTTTATCCATYGCACAGTAATGACAAAAAGAAACACCCCAAACATTGAAGAGGCAGAAGACCAGACGGACAGATCCTCAGTGTAACTGACTGGCTGCASTTTATAAATGCCATTCTGACCTTTAATTTATGCAATGAGTAACTGAACAACAAATTCATTGACAGACTCTGCCCTACAACAACCTCACATGCAAATCCTACCCATCAGCCATGTCKAAACCCTTTTTTCCCAACAGGAAAAGGAGGAGAGGATGCCTGCTCCCCTCTGAAGTAATGCAGAAGTAGAAATGACAAGCACATTAAACACATTTTTTGCCCTGATAAAATAGAGGCAAGTGGACTAGAGGCTGCAGCTAAGTTGATCTCAGTGCAGGATCAGATCTTGGGTACAGCATCCAGTGAAATGCCAGCAATGGCAGCAGTTACTGAGGGTATCAGCTGCCCTGTCCTGCCTCTGCTCCAGACTGAGCTGGGCGCCTTCCTATCAGTGCCTCTGCCATTCCCCTCTCTARACACACTGTTCTCTTCCCCACTCCCTCCTCAAGTGCTGTGTGCTCTGTGCAAACCACTGCCAAGTTCTGTCCAGGAACCCTTCTGTCTATATCTAAAAGTACTCTCTGGTCCTTCCAGGTTGCACAGGGCCTGTAAGTGTCACACACTATCACATCAAGCAAACATCATGATACCAGGCCCCAAGAGAAGACTGCAACAAGGCTGAAATCACCAGGCCCTCCCTGGCAGCAATAAACTTTACAGGTCGTTTAGAGAAGGGTCATTTTAACAGAAAACATGGCTGAATTTTAATCAAAACATTTTTTTCTTTTGTCTTTTTACCCAGAAAGCTGTGAGCAGGTTTATCCTCAACCACTCTGATCCGCCGGGCACCTGCAGGGATCACAGCGGCTTCGATGTAACCTAGGGCAACAAAAAAGGGGTGAATGAGAGCAGGGCAGGRCCAGCCAGGATCAGCCAGCCCAGATCTCCCTGTGAAAAACTCAACTCCAGGCTGGGGACTRAGTGAGAAACTTCACATGAGATCCCTGTGCTGGCAGCCAGGTTTCACTGCTGTGACAAGCAGGGTCATGACTAACATTTCAGCAAAAATGCATGTGTGCTGCTCAGCTCTGACTTCAGGCTTGTTAATCAGCTCTAATTAGATCTGCACCCTTCGAATCTGTCTGGTTTTCCTGCAGCACTGACAGRGATGTACGAGGACACGGCAAAGCATCACTGCACAGAACAGACATTTGAAATGATGTTTCCAGTAGGTGCTCCTAATTTGTCCTCCCTGTCGAGGCTGTGGTGAACGAAAGGACTCGTTTCCACAAAACTTTCTGATGATGCTAAAACTAAACAGAGGGAATTAGTGGGACAAATGAGGGGAAACCTTGTTTTCACTTACATTTCAGCTTTGTACAGAAATTCTGGAGGATATAATGATCTCCTTGSACTGGTCTGCTGAACAGAATTCAACAGCTCAGATTTAATGCAACAACASAGCTGGAAGTTCCCCAGGGACTGGCCACTGGTCACCTCTAAATTTTTCTAAGACCAAATTTTGACTCACAGAATACAGTAAGTAGGAGCTACAAGGAAATGTAGCCTATTTCCCCCCACTAATGACACACAGAGTTACAGACTTGTTCCATGGGGTGGAAGTGGTGCCTTTAAATAATAAAGCAGAGGAACATTAGGGCCCGTTTCAAAGAGCCAGGCGGAGTTTTTCCACTGGCTTCACTGGACTTTGAATCAGGCCTGTGTAAAYGACACTAATCTCATCACAACCATGACTTGATTCCTTCTAATTGGCCACCCAGTTTACTTTGCTGTGTATCACTTGGCACTTTTTGGGGTTATTGTTGTCCTCTTTCTTTTAGATGTTAAGCAGCTTATCCTGCTTATATCCAGTATGTTCCCTCATCCACTTTTCTTGCTTTAAAGGGCTCTGTGAAGCTGTTCAGTGTCAGTGATGCCTTTATGGGAATTGTGGGCTGTCTAGAGCAATGGGTTGGAGAAATGCTGGCACAGGGAGCAGTGATTCCTCTAGCACTCAGCAATGCTCAGGGAGCTATTTTAGGGATAAAAGTGCAGCTGAACAGCCCTGCTTTTGCCATACTGATATAGGGCAGATTCAAAGGAGGATGGTAACAACCTCTTGCATCTCAGGACTAAGTGATTCTCTTGCCACTGTGACATGGAGACAAATGGGGATTTTGGGGTCTCAGAYGGTGGATTCATTTCCTGAATATTCATTTCATGAGTAAGGCTTGAGCTCTTATCAGGTGCAGAGGGTGGACAGCTGACTTGGGCCAGACAGGCTCCCTCTTTCCCTGGTTGTTGTATCTGAATTACACTTTCACCTGACCCTTCAGCTCAGTTCTCTTTGCACTTGTTCCTCCCTCCTTACTTGTTCCTCCTTCCTTACTTCTTCCTTACTCAGTATATCTCAGAAATGGTCATTYATCCCTTGCAGGAAAACCAGAGASAGGGGCAGCAGAGCTCAAACCTTAWCTGTGCACAGAAGCCAGAGCAGTGGCTCTCCCAGCTGCTCTTCCAGTCTGGGTTCCAACAGGAAAAATCATTACTTCCAGGGTCAATTTTTTAAAGGCAACACTGAAATCTGTTAGGAAATCAGARCAAACAGATGAGGGGCTTTATTCTAGCCATTGCCAGGAGTTGGTTTTTCATCAGCTGAGAYACCAAATCACAGTCAATACAGAGTGTTTCAGATATCAAACATCCTCACTGCACCCCATGCACCTGCACATAAACCCAACCAACAACTACTCCAGACAGGAACACACAGCAGGAGTGTGAGCAGTGACAGTGTACCATAGGAAAACAGCTCCTGAGACACCCCTCAACACCCCTGTTAGGAAGCCAGTTTGGAACATGCCCAAGTTTCAGATGATTTAATGTACCTGCYAGGGGACTATTTACTTCTTTAGTTTTTAAACCAGATACAAATGCCCAGAGCTAATTCATGTTGGGATTAGAGTTACTCTGAATTTAGTGGAAAGCAGTCAGGAGTGTGTCACACTGCTTTAGAGGTGAGCAAACCCTGGAGCTCTGCTGGAGGCTCAGCTTGAGCCATAAATACACTCTCATTTCATCACTGTGCCATGAGAGAAAACACCACGTGGAAAAGTGATTTTTATGTTACTTTTTACAATAGTAAATAGTGAAGTGTAAGCTATTAATAAAGTATTAGTTCTGGAGACTGTTTAGTTTGGTTTCACACCAGATTTTTCTCCTCATGTAATTTCTAATCCTGATTGATGGCTTTGGGGGGTTGCATTCACAGCTCCTGAACAAGGAGAAAGAAACACAGTTTGTTAACTCACTGTGGCACAAACCTGACTGCTGCCCATCACTCTCCTGCTAGAGAACTGCCAAATGCTTTGCAGTTGTTTGGATCTGTCCTCTCAGAGGTGAAGCGGAATCCTTGGGCATGTCCCAYCAGGAGCACCTGGACACTCTCATTCATTATCTCCAACAATTTTGTGTGAGTTAGTGATCAAATTCTGCTGCAAACAGACTGGATATCATCCATGCAAATTTGCCACAAAATTGGGTCACCTCCACCCCTCCACTCTGGTCCTAAGAGCCGGTGGGAGGCTTCTGGTCACAGATTCCTGATCTTTGAGATAACTGCACCAGGAAACACCTCCAGTGTCTTCCAGGCACATTTTATTAAGCAAACTGTAACTGCAGATTGCCAGAAAGATTATCAAGTGTCAGCTAGAACGACCAAAAAAAGTCTCAGAGTTGGCCCCAAGTCAAGAACTCTCAAAGCTCTGTTAGGTCTGAGGGTAATTGTCTGCAAGGCAGGGGTTTGCAAGGTTGGGCTTAAAGTTCTGCTTTAAATGAGGAACTGGTTAAAGACTGATGAGATTTGGCAACTATCAGGCAGTATTTTTAGTAATTTCACCCATAAATCAGCCTGTTAAGATGAAGCTTTGAAAATACAACAGGAGAACTTCATTATTTGATAATTTATAGTGCTGTATGCAGTATACTCCACCTTGGGAACAGTTACTTTGGCACACACCAATCTTTCTGGATAATCTGCATTACATCAGTGTCTCAGGAATGTAAGACTGTGATTGAAGCAAATCCTAGATACAAATTATATGGTGTAACTCGTATTAGGAGAGACACCAGAACAAAGAGGTGGCTTTGTCATCAAGGAGATTAATATGTGAACAGTGACTACTGTATCTTCATTTAAATGCTGGAGAGATTTGCAAGAGGAAAGCAGCCCACACAGAAAAATCCATTGTTAGCCATTGTTATTACTCCCAGAAAGAACAGGAAGTTTAGTGTGAACTTCAGAATGTCACTGATCTACTGCAAAACTGTTCTTCTGGTTCACATTGCAAAGAAAGACGGACTCCAAGGTGAAGGAAAAATTATCCCATGGCTGAAAGTACCAATCTCTGGACACTGCACTTTCATATCTTATCCCACAAAATCAGGTGTGAGAAAGTGCTCAACACATTATCAAAGCTCCCAAAAGTGCTTTGAACAAAGCCCTGAGGGTAGAAGGAACTCAGACTGCCCTGCCTACCTGCCAGCCAGCACAGCTTCCACGATATTTTGGGGATAAACATCAGCTGGGCACCTCAAACTCCATCTCCTTCCCTCCTTGCAGCTTTTGCTGAGTGCTGCTTGTTGCAGTGGAGTGAAAATGATGTGCCTGTTTTCTGGATAGCTGTGATGATTCTCCATTGCTTTTAGCTTGAGAATAAATCCTGCATTGGCACCCATTCATTTCCAGCCATGGGATAGSTCATTTGGAAGAAAATAAATTCCCTGGAGAGCCATGGATAGATTTCAAGGCCTTCTACCATTGCTGTGAAGTTGGTTACTGTGATTTCTAACTTGCATGTTCTGACAAAACCCTTATAAGAGATCTCTGAGTTAAAGATTAGGTAGAGCTCTTTTTCTCATAATTTACATGTACATCCTATAGATAAAAAAGATGGTTTTGTGTTGGCTAAAGATGCTCCCAGCCAGCAGTACAAGCATTTCTGTTCAAATTTCTTTTAAATAAATTCTGGACATGCAGCCTATGCAATAAAAATCCCACTTTTCCCCATCTTAAAAAGAGAAATTTCTATCAAATATGTATTTTTCCTTTCCCAAAATGATAGTCAGATCAACTGGCATGTCTCATCTTATTACATTCTGCCATTAAAAAAATAAATCCAAATACCTGTGGTCATTCTTTTGACTCATAAGCAAATGAAAATCTTGATGTGGCTGAGAATAATCAAGAGAGACAGACACAGGACTCTGACCATTGGAGGCACAGCCTTGGAGAAGCYGTCAGTGATAAATCAGCTCCCCAACAGACAAGAATCAAAAAGCTGTCCTTCATTTCTAGGTTCCCTCTACAGTGGCAGGGTGACAGAGGTGGATGTCAGAACAACTCTTGTTTGGTTCTGATAAATGATTTCATAGAAATAGGTACAGGGCATGTGGCCAGTCTAAAGGAAACCTCAGTCTAAACAGTGCATTCAGCTGGCCTGCTCAAGACAGCCAGCTGCACACAAGTGTATGTGATGTTTAGCATCATAAATAAAGGCTTTTGACCTCCTCTCCAACAGAAAAACTGAGTCCATTTCCAGTTGGATCACCCTGGGTCACAGGTGGGAAGAGCTGAACTGCTGGACCTCCTATCAGGCATTTGGAATGTTCCATCATCTTCCCCACCAGGGTGGCAGAACCTCTGTGACATTAAAGTTGGGGAAAAAAAAAAAATAAGTACTAGTTCTTTTTGCCGGGTGCATGACAATTTGGCTTCCTTTCACATAGATAGGTTCTCTGAAAGGAAAGGATCTGTACTTTGTATCTCTGACAAGGCAAGTGAAACAGTAAAAGGACTTGAASTTTATCCATGGCTTTTGATACCAAATTTCCCCATTTATCCAARAAGAAGACAAAGAACCAACACCAAGGGATTTCACCAACACCCAGGGACACTGCAAACAGCATTCAAGAATCTTACACGAGAAACACTTGGGAACAGCCTTTGCCTTTGCCATCACACATGTGGAAACCTTCTTACAATGACTATTGGTTACTAAGAAACAGAAAGGAGTTGGCAGGGGTTTAGTTCACTTCACAGGGTTCCACAACATTATCTGCAATCACAGGACACAGAGGGACCAATCCTGCAACCAGAGGAGTTCCACGGGCACAACCAAGGCCACAGCTGCAATTCCCCAAACAGATACCAGTCCACAACAATGAATGTCTTGATGTTTGGAGTCTATTCTCTTCTAAAATAATAAATCAGCACACTGGACTTGGGATCTTGACCTTGACTTGGATTGCAGCCAGTTTGTGGGGATTTGCCACTGAACTGTGCCTTCATTTACACACCCAAACCTTGAACTTGTTATCACCAGCATATTGTGGATTCTTTATTGCCTCAGCTTCCATCATATTTGCACATTTTTGCTCAACTGTCAATTTAAAGAAAAAAGACCWTTTTTTTTCCTTGAGTAACCTCACACTCACTTGTGATACCCCAGAGCTGGAGTTTTGCCTGCTGCATGAGATTCAGCGGGTTCACCTGAAGACCTGATTGTGCAGAACAGCAGTGTGTGAGCAAAAATGGATGGGAGCAAACATAACATTTCATTACTTTCCAAATTACATTAAAAATAAAACATCTAATAAATGGTTAKGAGGTTATACTGGTGAACACAATTATTTTCCAGATTATGTGAGATRGGTAAAGGTGGAAACATTGCGTTGACATAGCAACACTTGGGCAGGTTTGTGCTTCTGTGATGATCAGCAAAGAATCCAAAGGCTTGAACACTGTCCATGAGCCATCAGGAATTCTTTCTGATTGGGTTCCAGGGCACTGGGGGTGAAAACCTCCTGCAGTGTCCTGGCAGCCAGTTAAGTTTGAAACCGTTCTGTTCCTACAGCCTTGTAAAGTCACCACCTCARGCAGTCTGTGGAGCTGAAAAGGGGTGCAATCTCCTGGCAGTGACCCAGAAATTTCTTATTTATCTGCACAAGATGTTTTGTAGACTCGTTGGAAAAAAATAAAAAATAGTTACTCTTCAGGAGCATGTAAGAAGTCCAGGAAAGCTGTATAATCTCCTACAGAAATGCACAATAGCTGGGCTTTTTCCCATGGAAATGAGGAACTTTTCCCACCACTTGCATCAAATGCAAATGACTTGATGTCAGTGGGTGGAAAATAATTGGGACAAAAGAGTCAAAGGCACTAATGCAGGAAACCATTCAACAGGTTGGCCAAGTGCACAAATGTGCTCCCAAGATGTGGTGGAGGTGAGAAATCCTACCTGCTCCTCACAGGAGGTGACAGATCCCAGCTGACCCCACAGCTGAGGGTGAGCAGGGTGCAGGGGAAGAGATCAGTGAGCAAAACCAGAGCCTCAGACTTCAGAACTGAGACTTGGACTAAAGGGAGCTGCTAAGCACTGGTGCTGCTTTGGCCACTAAACAGAATTGAAATGTGTGCTTAAAGGGGATTTTCATGTGCTTTGTGGAACTCAGTGCTGGAGAAGCGTTATGTTGAATGCATTTCTCCATACAGAAATGGCAATTCTGTATTCACTGAATGGGAAATAATTTTTTTCTGGACAATTGTTTCCTCCTGGAGCAGCTTCCAAGTTTGGGACATGGCTTTCCCTCCCTTTGGCTGATTAGGATGTGTGTTAACAGGTTTCTCAGAAGAGCASTACAGAACAAAGGTGAAACAGGAACAAAGACTAATACAAACACCAAGCTGTACATACATTTATGCTCAACAAGAGAGAAAAGTCTTAACTCCATCTGGAAGCTCCTGTATCCTATACTGGRTACTTTTGCTGGCAGGGAATCAGTAAAAATATTCAGGGGAGAGTGCTCTTTCCGTTAGCTGAGATATCTTGATTATAACATGAATCATCTACAACATGTAACATGCATCATTCTGAGACCTCAAGGATGGTGCTGAAACCCAACTTCCCTCCCACTGGGAAAGATTCTGCAATTTTGTCTCCTATTTAAAATCATCAGCACCAGTAGCACTCAAAATAAGAAAGAACTTCATTCTGAATTTCAGGCAGAGGCAGTAGATGGTATCTGGGCAACAGAGTAAGAAGCAAATGGCACATCACACTTGGAGTGAACTGGGGTTTGTCCTGTGTTTCTTAGGTGCTTCCCAGACCTGTTTTTTCYAGGTGACTCCAATGCTACCCAAGAAGAAGAGCTCTTACTGTCACCCTRACTCTCCTCCAGCAGGTAAGAACCCCACTGAGTGTTACTCACCCATGCCCTTGGTGTGGTTGAAGTCTCCTTTCACCACTTTGCAGGTTTTCCCATCCCCACTGCAGATCCCACAGCGATCCTCTTTGGCAGCTGAGCCAATGATCCCATCGCAGCCAATTTTCTAATGACAACAACCAGAGGTCCCCATTATTTTGTTTGCAAGGTTAGAGCACCTCTAAATAATAAGGTCAAGACTAAGATTGACATCGGACTGAAAACCTGAATGGGGAGAAAACATTGAATTCTGATTACATTTTTGAAAGACCTGAAAAAAGACCTCATTACAGATGGATCAAGATACCTGAAATGCAAGAGTAGTTCAGTGGAAGCAGGCCAGGTTCATATCAGGCCAATTTCTACCACAAGATTACCTATGCAATTATGAAATTTTCCACATGTTTGCACTGCATGAAGAATCAACATTCAATTGAAAAATAAATCAAAAAATCTAACAGTTTCACCTAAAGCTTCATTTTCAATGGTATTTTCATCATTTTCTACACATACCTAATTTTTTTTTCCAATAAAAACCTGCAGTTCTGCTTCCACAAATGGGAAGAGTTGCAATATCCTTCCTATTGGGATTATTACCATAATCTTCCTTATCCACAAAGCATTCACAGGTTATGACAGTGAACATTACACATTTGTAGATCTTGAGACTGACAAGACTGTCATTAATTTATATAAATTGTATTCTGACCATGTAAGACCCTCAAAATAATCAGCAATTCACTCTTAAAACATAAATTTATACTGAAATAAGCATTGTCACTGTGCAAGTTATTAGCAGAGATTGCACTATTAAAAATGAGTTTAAGATTTATTCYGTGTAGATAAACAGTTTCTTGGCAAATGAGCAGCAGGACTGTCACTAATAAGACTTATTTGAGTAAGGCTGTTGGGTCTCTCCCTTCTTTGCCTTCCTATAATGAAGCCAGAGGAAAGTTGGAGAGATATCTTAGGGAACGATCAAAACAACAAACATTTTGAAAARTAGGGTAAGCAGGGAAATATTAAGAGAACTTGGGTTGTTTATCTGAGCCTGGCTGCATGTAAGCAATGCAATTTGGATCAGAACTCCAACATTCCCCTTTTTCTGAAGCCCCTGGCCACTGCCTGAGTCCAGATGTATTTCAGGGATCAAAGATTGTCAGTGCTCTGCCGTGTGCTGATGCAGAGTTTGTCTGGGTASATCAGTAGGAACAGACATGCTGAGAGGGGGTGATCATCCCAAACACACACCAGAGAAATGCTGCTCATTAACTGGCACAGCACCTACATTARTGCACAGGAAAAGCAGGAAAAAAACTGTATAAATGGGAGTTAAAAGAGGTAGGAAGAAGATCACGGAGTTTCTGGCAGTTGCAATCCTCAAATCTAAACTTCACGCCCATGTCCAACAAATAATTTTGGGATATTGAACGTGATTCTGCCCCCAGAACAGAAGGATGTCCCAGCAGTTCTCCTTCCAGGAAAATCAGGATGATTTATTAATGGGGTTGCTGAAAGGCAGCTGGAAATAAATGCCTGCCTGCCACCCTGCTGAGATACTGGAAAGGCTGTGTTTAATTTAGGGCTCTGGTGCTATCTTTTATTGTGCTGCATTGTTATTAGCACTATGTGAGCACACAGAAGAATAAAGGGAACATAATGAGTGTTGAACCACACTTATTCCCAGAGCTACATGAGGAGTCTGCAGGACTCTAATGGAGGCAAGGAAAGAATGGGGAGCTGGCAATCACATGCTCTSTATTTACACTGGAGTTTCCCAGATAAGGAAAGCAGTGCAGGCCAACAAAKCTTGGGAAGACTGAGTCCCCCCTCTCCTGACACTGGGATTCAAGAAAAGACATTTCTTCACAYGTTTACTTGGTCACTGACACCCTTTGACTTGAGAGACCCTCTCGGATGGCATGGAAAGAACCCACTGAACCCACAAATGTAAGGCCCAAAACCTTTGCTGTTTTTTACCTTTCACCTTCACTCTGATTCCCTGTGAGTGATGGAAGTGGGAATGGCCCTTGCACCCTCCCCTTCAACAGCACCATTGCTCCCATCCACAGAGGAGACTTTTCCCTCAATTCAAGCCTTGAGACTTAAAGCYCCCATCACATTTGGGCCAGGAAATAGCTTCTTACAAAGGAATATCTTTAAAAGAATAAAACACTTTTTTTTTTCTTGGCTTCAAGATGAAAATTGGTGCATTCTTGCTACTTTATGGGGGAAAAATACCTTGGAAGCACTTTAGTGTTGTCTACATAAAYATTAGAGCCCATTTCCCTCTCCCCAAGCCTGCCAATAATTTCCAAACTGAAAGTGCCTTTAATAACAGTACATTTAATAACAGTACATTATGAAACAGCTTTGGTTAAGATTTGACAGTGTATTCCAAAAGCTGCAAAGTCATTTAGAAACACATTACAGTGACCACCTCAGTCACTCTGATCCTTCGAGAACTCCCCACACGGAAAGTACAGGCACTCTTAAGTGGATCAAAAGGGACAGAGACAGGGCTGGAAGGGCAGAACACAGTGGGTATCACCCTTCTGGGAGCAAAATACCTGCCAGCAGTCCTTGGGCTGTTAATTAAGAGATACATCCAGCTTTCTCCAAGCCCCTGAGATTCCAGCACTGGGTGGAAAAACTATCGAGTCTGTACATCAGCAGCTTCTCACTGACAATATGCTCTGTGTATTATACTGTCCATCCTTTCACTGKGGGGCTGTCCTCAGCCTGCAGAAAGCTTTCCAAAAAGTGAGGGTCTAACTGACCACATGCAAAGGGAMAATCCCAAGTTTTATTGCTCAAAAGTCAAGTTTTCACAGTGCAGAGAGAATCCCTTAGAATCCAAGAGTTCAAGAAAGTTGTCCAATCTTTGCCATCTCTCACTTGCTTTGTGTTGCTTCCWCCCCAGTCCAACCATTCAAGGTAAGGAGATTTATTAAACTGAGAAGCAGAAAGGAGAAGTTTTACATTTTGAAGAAAGAAAGGTCTTGTAAACAACAATGACATTTCGTATGTTTTCTGACCCAAGAATTATCCTGCACATGAGCAGCCTGAGTCCATGGACATCAGTTGCTGGATATTTTCAGTTCCATCAGTCTTGAATGCACTGGTGAGAAGGGAAGTAGTTTTAAAGATGGGAATGACAGGAAGAAACATGAAGATAAAGTATTTTAGGGCTTCAAGTCCTCAGCATGGACAGTCAGAATTGTGTCCACATGTTTCTTAATGCTCTTCAACCCCGTCTCCTACTCTGACACCACATTTTGGAACTAGCTACTGACCTTTAAATTGGCAGGTAACTGCACATTTGCTGAGCCAAAGGCCTGAAACTAATTCTCTTTAAGCCACTATCTCCATCCACCCTTCCTTCCCTCCCTCCCCTTCTTCTAATTTTTATAATTAAACATCTGAAAGTACTGCTTGTTGGGTGGTATTTCCAGCTTCAGTCATTGCTGGCTCCAGCATAGGAAAACTCCTCTTCTCTTCTGAATAACTATCACTTGGATTCTTCTGTGTGAACTATTCTCTGTATTGCTTGGATATTTTTTAATGATATTTTTATTTGTATTTTCAATGGCTGTRAAAGAGCTCAATTGATACAGCTTGTGAGAGTATGTTTTGCTACATAAACACAATTATTTTTGTTATACACACCCACCCTGTGTAAGAAATGACATTGTAGGCTCACAAAACTGTAATGCTTCCCATATGCTGAACTAACTGGCTGTCTCAATGGATCAAATATAAATATTGATGCAACATGTGCCATTTTACAAATTAATSATGCACAGAGCAGGCTGGTTATGACAGATTCATCTACACTGCCAATTTCTTTTGTCCATAATATCCAATGTCCATTGATACCTCCAGGGATGGACCACATGAAACAGGAATGTACACATGTGAGGAAGTGACATTCAGATCTGACAGGAAGAGAATTCTTATTTCTTTGTTTTAAACATCTGTCCCTGTAGAAGATTGTGGGTGGCTGTCAGGGCTGGCACAGGATATGAGTCTGGGTCCCTAATCAAGCAGTGCACCTCTGAGTTACTCCTGTTTCTGCTCCACAACAAATTTTGTGTGATGAACTGGATCCATGAAARAGGAAGCAAATATCCTCCTGTCATTTTGCAAGCCTTCAGATTTTGTCTGAATCAGAGCAGCTCTGCTGGATCAGGAGTTCAACACCTCCTATTTTAAATGAGCATTATCTYATCTGCATTAGATCTGCAATGTCACCTGCCCCCTGACTTTGTGCTTAGATCCCTCAGCAGCTCCCGGGGCTGTTGTACACAATAATTCTTGATAAACACTTTTCCACATATAGAGATTAAAGGTTATGTGTCAAAACCTCTGTGTTCATGAAAGAACATGCAAATAATAAAAAGCTCTTTCCCATCCCAGGAATTCCTTTGCTTCTGTTCTATTATATGCTTTCAATGGGGTAACATGGAGGAAAAACTGGGGGAAACAGWGTATGGTTTCTTTTCATACCCCACTGCAAAGTTCATTAAAACTAGTAAGATATTAACAAAGAGTTGGGTTTTGTCACTATGCCTTACTTATGAAAATATCTGATACTCTTTTTAACCTCAGATTACATTGCTACAGATCCAGACATGGAAAAAAGAMAAACGGCAATTATACAACAGGTTTCTGTAGTTCAGACAATCCTTCTGGATTTTGTGCACATGCACTAAATAATTTATCAAAGTACAGTGCTAAGCCAAGTTGTTGTATGGAGACAAGCTACCCAGTCTGGAACATCTTGTACCACGGTTTGTAATGCAGGAATATGAATAATACATGGAAAATACTCAAGTGAGGAGACAAAGCCAGAACTGCAGGCATCAATCAAATGTAAAAAGTGGGTACTGAGTATGCAAAAACTGTTTGGCGGCAGCAGGTCCAGCAGATAACTTCAATTTCTCCTCTACCACCTGCAGCCCTCTCCTGACACTCTGCCTGTCCAGTTTGCAGAAGCTGTTTTTGAAAATCTGTCCATTCCCCAATTTGTGCTCCCCTTCCATAGAGTATGACAATCACTTTTGGAAGAAAGTAGTTCGTTGTGCCAGGACAACCTAATATGTGGCTTATTACCAYTGAATGTACTGTGGATCCACCAGCCAGTTAAAAGTAGGTGTGATATGAGAAAACATTCATGAGAAAACTGCAGATAGAGCCAAAACATCTTCACCTCTTAAACTGTTAAATCACAGCAAAAGCTGCCCTTGATCTCTAGCCCATTTCTGCTATCCAGGAGGTCTCTCTTTTCACAGAGACCTTAAATTACATCCTGAAGCACAGTCTGCAGTCCCCAGTGGAAAGCTCTCATGCTGTCATGAGTCTCAGACTAATCCTCCTTTGAGAAAAGCCAGCACAAGGTCATGTGCATCACAACAGTCAGCTGAACAGCTTGTCTTCTCCTCACCCCTCTGCTCTGTGACATCTGACACTTTTTTTTAGCTCCACTTCTGCCAGAAGTTTTGAATTAACCTCAKCAGCACAGAGCAAAGCACTGGGTTAGAAAGTACCCTGCTCTCATGAGTGTTCTCTCATCAAACACACACCCCACAGGCTCAGGGAAGAACAAAACCCTCAGGGAATCCTCTCCCTCAAAGCCATTTGAAGAGAAATAGGAGAAGATGAACCCAATGTGAGGTGGAGGTTRTAGATGGGCCCCACCCCATCTCCCTTATGGCTGCAGTGTCCATGATGGGAAAGCAAACTGCTGTAAAGCCTAAATGAGCACTCACCCTCCTTCTCCACCTCCTCAGACACACCAGGCTGCTCTTGCTCTCCAGCCTGCTTTCTGTCTCTGAAAAATCCCTAGAGAAAATAACTTCTCCTTGCTAGGAGACCATGTGCATTCTGAGAAGAAAAGGTCAAAGACCTACATACACTTTGAACAGGGGATCTAGTTTGCTAAGATGGTAAGAAATGATGCATTTTAAATGTTCAGCCTCAAAACCAACTCCAGTAAATAAGGACAAAATTGAATTAAGACCTTATGTATGATTAATCTCAAAAACAAAGARTAAGGCTATAAAAAGTCTAGGTGATTTAGGAACCCCCATATTAAATTTAAGGCTGACTTTGCTCTCTGCTGCTCCTATGCATGATCAGAGCAATAACCARGTTTACTCACTCCAGCTGCCTTCAGGTGTAAGGGATAAATACAGGGATGCTGCTGGCTTTTGATGATTTTCAGGGATAGTGAGGCTGACACSCAAGGCTTCATTGACACCTTTTAGATTGGAGCTCAGCTTTAAACTGTAATAACTTCACAAAGTGAAACTTAAGGAAAAGTCTCCTCCCTCAGTGCCCAAATGTCATTGGTACATTTTGAGGCTTCAGAGAATCTGTTCCCACTTTCCTTCTCAAAACCCTCCTCTACCGYTTCTGTACTTACAACAGTTTTTTCTCTGCCATGTTCATCTACATTCATTCATCATCCAAAAACAATTAATGAGCTGCACTTAGGAGCATCTAACAAAGGGAAAAGATCTATTACATTTCCTGGACTAGATGTTCACCGGCAATGGTTGCTGCTAATTTGTCTGTTGTACTGACAGTGTATCATTCCTGCCTTTGAGAGCCTCTAACTAGAAGGATTACATAAGAAAATAAATAACAGTAATACCACCCTCTGATTTCAGCACTTACTCTCTTCCCCAAGCCCCCTGCAATGCTTATTGCCAGGCTTTGTCTATGCTGGGTAAAGAAATAAGGAGAGAAGTAATTAAATGAATATGGCAATTAAATTGGTTTAATAGGCAGCTAGTTAGACAAGTATCTGTGGCAAACGGGGTACACAGGCACATATGGCAATTCTCAGCACTGCACTGCATATAAAGCAGAGGAGTATTATAAATGAGTTCATGGGGCTTTCAAATCTGCTCGGCTTGAACTGATCATTTTGCATTTTTTCTCAGCCAGATGCAAATGGACTGAATGTTCTGCAGCTGTCAACACCTCTCTGCACAGTTAAAGGCAGTTGCCCCCGACTCAGAGTGCAATTTGCTTTTCGTGRTGTACCTCCAGTACTCTGTGCTCATAAAGGAATTCATTTGGAGGGAGCTGGCTACTGATCCTCCCTGGATGAAAAAAAAACGTGCCTTGCCATGATGTCTGATTTACCATTTGTGGCTGATATGAAGGTTTGGAGCAGTAAAACTGGCCAGCCCAGAGAAATGGTCAGTGGCACACAGCTGGAGGTGCATAGCTGGCCTGACTATGAAAGGTTATAAATGGGGTTTAGTTTAGCTTTTTTCAGATACAGCTGAAAACGGGGAAAAATTAAGTAACTTGGGATGCACCATGAACCTGGCTGTATGCAAAACACTTTGCATTATAGAGAAGCAAACTTGTACTGGCTCCCCAGACTCYTCTTATTCATATTTGTCACCGGAATAACTTAGAAAAACTGAATTAAAAATGCCTCTTCAGCATCATTTGTCAAGAAACAGTGGGAAATGTCTCCTGCAGTAGTGCAAAAACCCAAAGATTTTTCACTTTTCTTTTTGCATTCCTATTAGTAAAGCTGCTTTAGCCCAAGACACAGGGCCTTGCAGCACTTGTACTGGGCCTTACAAAGCAGGGTTGTCCCCTCCCCGCAGGGACAGCCTCCCACATGGTGCTGCTCCTGACTGAACACAACGCTAGAAATGAAACAAGAGAAAGTTACTCCACCTGGCACTTGCCATGTACACAGAGGTCTGTCTCGTAGGGCCCACAGGGAGTTCCATCCAGGACTCTGTCTGCCACCAGCATGGGAGAATCCTTGCCCAGTGGGGAGCAGAAGAGCTCGCACGGCTTATCTGGAAAAAGAAATATGACAACTGCCCTTGGGAACAGCACAAAGAAGTGTTGGTGATGCATTCTCTGCGTGAACGGATTTGGATATTCTTCTCTGAAGGAACRTGAGGCTTTCAGTTTAGGCCTGTCATTTCCCAATTTAAAATGTCAATATTTAAAGTGTTACATCGATGAGACTGGGCTTTAACAGCACAGAAAACCAATTACTACACTCTTGTGTATCTGTTTGTCAAGGGAAGATGTTTGTTACAGGGAACATTCATCAGTCTGATAAGAATGATCAGACAAAATTCAGGCTACAGCCAGTGATTTCAGAAGAACAAATTCTCCAGACTATTTTTTATCCCATTAACATTTGGTTGAATAGCAGGTCCACCAAAGGAAGCATTAAAGGAATGTAGGTAAAATAGGCAATCATGTTGAGATGCCCCAAAGTGACATAAATTTTAAAAGTATCACAGGGAATCCATCTTTTTTTCAGCTCCAAACTAACTGGAATTTTTAAAGTTTAAATTCCCAACTATTCAGACTGGGGATCAAGGCAAGGCACTTCTCTCCCAGCCTTTCAAAGAGATGAGTAAAGCATTGAGAGCTCTGTATGTTCTATTAGGAAGGCAAAAGGAACAGCAGGGCAGCACCAAGAACAATTAACTGTAATTAGTCTTTCAGCTGTAGCTAARGGGGGCCTATTGTAGCCTTCTCACCAACAACTGGAGCCCTGCAGATGAGAAACTGCAGTGAAAGAACATCAAGGGAGATGCAAACACTCACCATCCACAATGACAGCTGTCAGGAGGCTTTTCTTCTTGTTGCTGTACCTGTCATGGGCCTGGCACTGCTGGTCCCTGAAGCTGGGCACCCCTTTGGGGCAGGGCAGGTTCTCACACACCGTGTGCTCCACGCTGGCCCCCCGGCAGTTCTTCCCTCCCGGCCCAGGGCTGAAGTGACAAACAAAACCAGGGTCAGCACCCAGCACCCGCAATGTTCTGTCTGTCCCCTCCCASCCTTGCTTTGCCCCCTGCCTCAAACACTGCTGAGGATGGAGACACAGCAAACATCTCTCCAGCACGTGTCCTCCTTGCAATTAAAATACCACAGAAGCAGCTAGAACCCGCACTGGAAGTAGGGTATCCAGAAACAAACCTCTGCTGYAGATAATCTCCATCCATGAAATCCATGCCATCTCACATATTTGTTTCTAAAACATGCAGGAAAGGCCACTAMTGCAGGACTAAACCCCTGCAAAACTGATTCATTTTTATTTATGAATCCCCAGAGATGAAGGAAAACTCAAACTCTCAGCAATAGCCTGTATTTTCTTTGCAAAATAAAACAAAATACAAACAAAAAACCACAAGTAAGCATGGAATCTGGAATCCCAGGTCCCAAGCCTTGTACACTACGAGCTCAAGCACTGCCTAAGATTGGGATTTCCAATAAACAGTGCAATCCAAGGCCACCCTGGCCCATGCCTGAAACAGTGACTGTGTGAGATCTCTCGATAGACAACTCCTCAGTCAGTCACCCTTCAATGTATTTATGCCAAGGGAATCCAYTGACTAAAGGAACTGAAGAAATCAAAGCCCAGTTATGCTGCTGTGACCTTTTTACATGACAAGAGAGGACTGCAGAAGGGATCCTCTGTTCAAACCAGTGGTTTTCTCCTCAGTCCCACTGTACAACAGCAGCCCAATGCCTAGATGAGAACACAAGGCAGTACAACTCAAAAGTCTGCATGTGCAAATTGGCTCATGACACACTCCTTACAACCATGTGGAGGCAATGCATGTAAATGCTCAAAGAAATTACAGAGAGGAAAAACCAAATCAAACAGCGAAGCAACTGGTTTAAAAATACTAATAGTCCCACAGGCTTAAGAGTCAGCTGGCAGCAGGAGAAATTCCTGTAAAAAAAAAATAAAATCCCAAGACCAAATATATATAAAATAAAAGATAAATCCCTTAGCCAATATTTTTGGACAGTGAATAAACCAGCTGCAGAAGTGGGTTGAGGCCAGGAATTTGATGCAAAAGAGGATCACGTGCATATACCCAGCCAAGAATGTATATGAGCAAGAGAATTTTAAAATCAGTGTGCAGTGTTGGAAGGAGCATTTCCTGTAATTTGAGGAACGATTATGAATGGATTTACGTTTGGTCAGCACTGTAGCTGACAGCAAAGAAACCAGCTCAGTCCCCTTTTCAGGAAAATGAGCTGGTAAAAATCAAACCTGGATATTATAGACATGCAACTGCAGCTCARTGTTATTTAAGGAAAGGAATAAACAAAAATATACTTTTCACATGATTACAGGACAACACAGACAGTGTGAGCTGATCCATCATCTAGGCATGTCTTTAAAGTGGCTGTGCTGCTATCCAGAATTTTAGCCCCAATTTAAAAAGAAATTGGTACTTTGGGTACTTCATCTGTGGCGGAAAACTTAAAATCTGAATGGAGAGACCCCWCTTGGAGAGCTGCTCCCAAGGCTGTGAAGCTGTAATCAACAAAATCGGGGTGGCAAATTAAATGGCACCACTGTAACTTGCTCAGGTCTCCCAAATGATGAAGAGACCTCCAGATGGCCTGAGGGATGAAGGACAACACCTACATTTCATCCTGAACTAATAATGCAAGGCCAAGCAGAGAGCATCAGCTTGATTGTAGTCACTGTGCAGGAGCTAAACAGCACCCAGGGCTCTCTGTGTGCATGAAAACTTTCCTGTTCTTATGCAGCACATCCTGACCTCCAGAACATCTCCAGGTGCTTTGCCAACACAGCTCTGGGGCCACTGTCAGCCACCCCACTGCTCCCCCAGCCCAGAGCCAGCACTGCCTGCAAGACTTATCTCTAAGGCACATTGGCTCTTTTTGGTTTCTAGATCCAGATCAGCCCCTCCACATTCACCGCAGTGCTGGAAGGAAAACTCAGCACCAGTYTTTCTGCCAAATTGCATGTTTTCAATTCAACTTTATCTACCTTTGAATCACTGCCAAAGGTGACCCTTCAAGCCACTTGCACAAGTCACTCCAGGATTCTGACCTGGTCATTGCTGCTTGTGAATGAGAAATTTCTCCAGGCTCTGCTGGTCCTTTCTCCCCTGCAAGGGTTGCCCAGGTGAGGAAGGGTTGCCTGGACAGCAAAAGGAGGCAGGGAGGTGTGAGGACTTACGGGGGGTTGTCGCATTTGCGCTGCCTGAAGCGCACCCCGGTGCCGCAGCTCCGGCTGCACATGCTCCACGGGCTCCACGCGCTCCAGTCCCCGTCCACGTGCTCAGGGATGGGGGTTTTGCTGACACACTCCCCAGCTCGGCACCACTGCAAGGCAAGCTGGTTAGTACTGCCTGGCAAGAAGCCCTGACCTTGCACAGGTGGGATTTAAAGGATGTCTGAGGTACTGCTACAAGACCATGGTTAAATGTCTAGGGATTCGATGGTTTGGTGAGATGGAGGTGGGAGGAGGAAGGGAGGAGGTAAAATGTAGAAATTTGTCACTCTCAACAAGCCCCTGAAGGGAGTTCTGTCATAAAAAAAAGAAAATTAAAAAAAATCACAGAATTGAGCCCCTTACTTTATAAAGCAGATGATTATCTAAGTGCTAAGACTTAAAGCCCCAGAATTCACAGAAACCAAGTCCAAGAAATTATACCCCAAAGCAATGCCTTCATCAGCACTGTTCCCAGTATGTACAGAATGATTGAAGTATTCTGGACCTAACTTGGCTAAACCMCTCTGATTCCAACAGATTGCACTGGCTCCTCACCAAGCAGCAAACTTGGCCTGTCCAGGATGTGACAAGGTGAGCACTGCTAAGAAACCTTACGAAAGAGTAACCAGGACTCCTCCAGTTAGAAAAACATGGGCCTAAAAACCTTTTTGTTCTCCATTTCCTTGTCACACCTTCCAGGACAGCTTTTCTTGTTACTGTTTATCTTTACGTGCAAGCMAAGAAAGGGTCTCCAACCCTTGATTTCAGGAACCAGCTTTTTCATTTTACCCTTTCTTACCTCCCCAACTGTACAATGAACAAAAAATTAATTAGAGTCCAAAACCAGTAAGTAGAGGGCTGACAGTTAACCAGACCACTCAAGTTCTAACATATATCTATAYATACACAGCAAATTATACCTCAAAAAGAACAGAACATAACTAAATTTGAGCTCAATTATTTTGAGCTACTTTTAAAAACTATATAGTTCTGAAGTAGCCTCTTTTTCTTTCCCCATCTTCCTCCACTCCCCAAAAGTCAGAATAAATGCTCTGCACACTTTCTACCCCAAATACAACCCAGAACATGACTAGCTATGGGTTTATGCTAAATACYGAACATCTTGGAAACATTATTCCCACTTCTGGAAAACAGAAAGTGGCTGCTGCTGAGCATTCTGATTACCTTGTCTGCGCCACATTCGGTGCCATCCAGAGGGGGGTCCAACTTTGTTTTACAGGATGTGTCTCCTTCCACCAGGCACCACAGCCCAGCACACATCAAATGCTGTAATCACAAAGCAAAGAGGTGCAGTTATTACTTTTAGAAATGCCAGCCATCATTATGGGATATACTTCAAAGCTCAGGCAGTCTTTCTCAAGTGAATCCAGAGGCATCCAGTTGGTTTGGGAGCAATTATTTTTTAAGGGTCGATTGGCATTAAGTGGTGAGGCCAGAAACATGAAAGAGATTGATGGATGCCACTGACAGGAACAAAACCTACCCCAAACAAAAAGTGAGCTATTTAAACAGATTTCTTTTCACAAGAATAAATCTGKTCCATTAAAAAAGAATCCTATATGGGAGGCCACATTGGGTGCTTTGGAACCATGCCACATGCTTAGATGTCCAAGATGCTTAATTACTCTTATTTTTCACAAAAAGATACTGAAGTAAYTGCAGCTGGTGGTAGCAATAATCAGCCAGCAATGCCCCTGGGGAGAAGATTGAATGAGAAAGAGGAAAGGATGTCATGGTGTGCTGTGCAGCAAATGAGGAGCTTGGTGMCAGGCAGGGTCAAAGACTGGGAATTCATTCTGGGGATCACTGGCCACTGCTGCTGCTCTGCTCAGCCAGTGTGTGCTGCAGGGCTCTCACTGCTCACCACAACTGTGTGACCTGCCAGACCAATATGTTTTCAGAATTTAAGAAAAAGCACCAGGAAAAGGGGCTTTTGCATCGGTAACATTTTCCAAAGCATCCACCATGCTTTGCATTCCATGAAGTGGATGATTTCAATACAGTGCTACATAGCTGAGTACCAAAAGAAAGAAAAAGAAGAGTTACATTTCTTTCCACTATTGTTCRCATTTCAATGTAATGGTAAAAAGATGAGAAACCTGACTCCAGTGCCAACTGGTCTTGTCAAGATTTATTGCACCTCATTAAATAGTTGAGTCAACATGCTTCAGCCTTATGGTTCTTTCCCAATGTAATGTAAGAGACTGTGGGTGCATGCGTGTTTTGTGTACAGGCATGTTGGTATGTCTCTATAAAATAGATCATGTCTCTATAAAATAGATCTGTACAAGAGAGGGTGCAGATGAATAAATCCCAGTCCCAGCAATGATATAGAACATAGTGAAACAAAATAGTTATCACAGCAGTATCTGCATCCTGTTCCATTTCCACRTTTCTTTCTGGAAAGCGGATTTTGCACTATTTAAACCCAAAGAACATTCACAAAAACTGGAAGCAGACAGCACAATWTAACATCTGTATTAACCACAACGCAGAAAATCATTGTCAAACAAACAAACAAACAAACAACAGCAAATACTCCAGGGAAACCTAAATCAATGAATTTTCAAGACATTTTCTCTGAACAAATGGGGCATATGGGAAAATATCGTCCTTGGTAATTGTGACTAAATGACTGTCACTAATTAGTGGTTTACCCACAGCTCTGAAAGCACTKAAGCACCAATTAGCCATGAGGACATCACACATTGTTTTATTGATAGGTATAGCGAGGCAGAAGCCTTGACAAGGCAGAGATTTCAGACCTTACTGAGAAATCCATTGCTCCACCACATAACTCCCAGATTCTCAACCCTCTGCCTTATCACAGTGTGAAAGCATTACCAGCAAAACCTCCTTCCAAACTGTGGCTGGAGAATATTGATATGTAAAATRAAGGGATGCTTTCAAAAGTAAAGATGCAGATAGCAAGTATTTCCACYTTTCCAGTCTTCAGCCCCTCTCTTGCATATAACCACAAAGCTTCAGAGCAGAATGTGGGGAGAAACTGCAGCCAGATGTCTTGAATGACCCAGACAGAAATTTTGCTCCCAAAAGGACATCCTCTGCTTCTGCTTTCTATCACAGACATCCTGAAGATGGAATGGAAGTAACTACATCCCTAAAGAAGTTGTTCTAGACACATAKGAGCACCATTGCTAAATTTCTGTGTATTATACAAGGCCTGTAGTTGTTGACCTTCAGGTCTCTGGATCACAAACTGCATGTAAATTAGGGTTAATTTCTGCTCTTTGATGTAAAGCTGAGAGGACAGAGGGGGTGATGGTAGAAACAGTCATAAAAATGAAACAGCTTTTTGTATGATTTTGGCTGGCAACCAGAATCCCTTCACAGCCCACAAAAACATGGAAGGTGATAAAGTCAGGTCACAYGCCCAAGTATGAACCATGGCATGGGGAAGCAATGGGCAGAGGTCCCTTCAAACATGTGTGTTTGTACCTGCAGAACTGGGCCCAGCCCAGGGATAGAGTACAAATATTCACATACATGTGGGTGTGGTGYGTGTGAATACAAATATTCACATACAAGTGTGTGTTTGTGCTGATACACGCATGKATACACACACATAATTATAAGGAGATAAATAAAGGAAATATCTCTCTCAGCAACACCAACCTTTCTGAAATCTCCCATCTTCAAGGTATGGAAAACATCGGATTTTTATAGCATCCCTGTGTTTGATTCAGAATCCTAAATGCAAAGCATATTTCAGGAAACAGTTACAGAAAAATCTGGTAACGGCGCTGAGCTCTGTGTTCTGGTGCCACACCACTACAAAGCCCAGGCCCTCGTTAGCCCAGTCCCCTGCGTTTAATAGTGTTCAGACACCCCAGCAAAGATGAAACCATCAGCTTTGGGATTGAATGTTCCCAAGATGTTTTATCATGTTAATAGCTCTTTTCAAAAGAGATCATGTATCCTCCTCAGCTACAATAGGAACCCAAACAAAACTCCCCATTAAACAGCAAAGCAGTCGCAGTGACTGACTTTTTAATGGTTAAACAGCCAGCTTTGTGGGGAAATATCCAAGTGAGAAATGGCAGGACTTGAAAGGAAGTTGTTGTATGTGAGTGGCAGCTCAGAGCTTATATTGATACAGAAGAAGCCATCAAAAGAACTGTATTAGTGCTAATTCTGCATTCAGCAACCAGATTTCAGATGGCAGGTCCCTGCCTGCAAAGTATTCCCTACAGCATTCAAGAGATGCCAGTGAGGATTTTCCAGTTATAGATATTTCACACTGGAAAAATATTGATTTGTTGAAACTRTCTGTGGGGAAAGGTCATCTTTGAATCAGCTCCCAGTCTGAAATATTTCCATGAGTGAAATAAAATTTTAAAAAGCGAGATGGCTGTTGAAAATAAATATCAATAAAAATTAAAATTACTTGTTAAAACAAAAAAAAAAAGCTTTTTCAACTGCACCCGTAAGGAATTCATACAGAAAGAAAATAAAATTTAGAAACTGAAATTTTTGTAAAGGTGCAAATTTTAAACTCTCCAAACTCCTGGGAGATAGGAAAGCTTGTCTGCACAGCTGCTAGGAACCAGTTCTGGGAGAGGTCACAATCTGGAAGCTCCCAAGCTTGGGAGAGGATGTGCTGGGCAGGTGAACGCTTCCGATTACAGGGATTAGAATGGCATCATTTGACACAGGGGCCTCCCTGGGCCAGGTGTTTGCTCTCCCTTAAACATCTCACCATCTAAACAGACTCCTGGCAGCTTGGGGATAAAGGAAGTTTTATCACTCCGTTCTAGGTGGAAAGATGAGGAGCAGAAAGGGATTAAATGTCTTGCTGAAAGTCTGCTGGGAGCCAAGCTGAAGCAGAGCTCTGCTCAGYGTCACTGCCACAGGCTCTTGTGTCACTGCCTGCTCCAGCTAAAGCCACKCTCTGGCTCTGAGCCTTCCCACCTTTCCCAGCTTTTCACACTTTTCAAAGATGGTGTTTCCCTTGCCTGGGACTCCATCCCTGTGTGCCCACATGGACTCCCAGCGTGTGAAGCTCATGTGCAGTTCAGGGAAGGATCTATTTTAGGTTCCTTAGCTCACTGCTGCAGCTGGAAATGAGGAGGAGGCCAGAGTTAATCCAGCCAGCTCCTTGCCCACAGGCTGTGAATCTGGAGCCTGCTCTCTCTGGGTCAGCTATTGCATCACCACTGCTGCTAAAATCTGTGTGATCCTGCCCATGACCTCATGTGGGCTCACAAGAAAGGGCTCACAAGACTTCCCCACCTCAAACCCTCCAATTAATACCTACAAGGGGAGCTTCCAAATCTCCAAAGCAAAAAGAGAATCCCATGAATAAAGGTGTCCTTTCCCATCAGAGAACAACTCTACACTTGTTCAGTGTCTCCTCATTCACTCCCTTCGTTCCCTACATTCACTCACTCACCTTGGCTGCATCCAAAGAAAGAAACACTTATTTCTCCTGAGGATGAATTTGTTTCTGCTGCCCACTGGGGAGAGGAATGTCTTCTTTCTAGCAGCAGAATTAAACCACCTTGAAACCATTTTTTCAGTCAAAATGATGGGGCCATGAATAAGAACTTTGGAAGAGTAAATAGCCTTTAGTAAGAGAAGCAGGAGTCCTAATAACACACAGGCTTGCTCATAAATAGGTTGACTTCCAATAGAGTATCAAAACTCTTTTATTTTGCTGAGGTTTTGGCTCAGCATATTGCTAACCAGGATCCTAATTAACACCTATTAGGTACAATAAACAAAAAATTTACTCTCACTTTCCTGTTCAAAGCACTATGCAAACATTCTCAAAGCCTCACAGGATGCTTCTGAGGAGCAATTCTTTACACAATAAAGTGACAAAAACAACGCCCTCAATTTCTACACCATCACTGTCTTTAATTTAGGGTGCATAAACAACCCATGACAATCACAAGGGAGGTGAGCACTGTTGTTTGGTGAAGCTTCTTGCTGTTGAAAATGAGATGAAAAATGTTCCAAACTTGAATCCTGTAAAATTGGAAGGCACTTTTGGAAAGGAGCCACGTGTTGTCCCAGACAACATAACTGTGGAACTCGGATCCATGTTTCAGTGGCCAAGCTGCTGACCTGTGCCTACAGCTGATATTCCAAGGAATGAGTGCTAGTGCCAGACAAGCAGTGGAAGGCTCTCAGACTGCAGAGAAGGCACAAAGGAATAGAAACACTTTTTGGTTTTTTTGGTTTTTTTTTTTAAGTGTACATTGGGAAGCAAACAATGAAATGAAAAAGACTGTCTCTAGTTT